AGTATCCTGATCTTCCACAGCGAGAAATCTGAATCGCCATTGAACGTCTTTATCTCGAACTTTGTCGTCGTCGTTGCCATCGATCGATTCAAGAGCGGAACCTGGCTCTGATACCAATCTGTTAGAAATCGAGTATCAAGAACAACGATCTGAGATCAACTCTAACTCGAATCTATCTTTTGAATACGATCGCTTTGTGTTTGAGTTTGTGCAAGTAAAGAAACGAGAACAAAGAACACACGATTTGTTACCCAGTTCAGCGTGATCGATGTGATCACACCTACGTCTGGGGCCGAATCAATCCGGCAAATCCACTATCAAAATGAGTAAGAACCAGCTCGAACTTGAGCTTTACAACAATGGCGGATCTCTCTCACAAGTCTCTCTCTCTCTCGATACAACAGACTTGAAACAGAAAAATATGAAGAAGTGATAAGAGATGAAACGATCCGTTTCAGAATATAACAAACTCTTCACTGCAGTTAGAGACTTTGCATTGCTTCTTCTTTATCCGGTTCAATCAACAATCTTTTAAACCGGAGATAAGCGCCTGATCAATTCTTCTAAGTTTCAATCAAACCAACCAAAGCTAATAGAATTTGAATCAGACCTGAACCTTCAACACCTTATATAATTATTAGCTAGTTTGCATAGGATTTTGGTTCTTTTTTCCTTTTTGACACAAGTCCGGGTTCCAAGTTTTGGGAGCCTCAAAAAGCAACCTTGGTTTCTAATTATATGTTTTTAAAAATTAAAATGTATTATTACTTATAAAAATAAACGAGAGAGCAATCAATCAACCCGTTGCAATGGACACCAATGGAAGTTGTCTAGCCGTAATGGACAACATTCTTGATTTAAGTAACTGCTGAGCCAACTTTTCGAACAGGTTCCAAATCTTGTATTAATAATGAAAGGACAGCAGCAACAACAACAAAATCATGGAGAAATAAGTTCGAGAAAGTAGCCTTAACTTTAAATATTATACGTATTTGCATATATAGAAATTTGCAAAGTTGCAAACGAAAGAAGATAAGAAACTAATCTGCGTTTGGCATTTGATGATAAGTGTTTTCGTGTTGCGCATCAAAATGTAGTGTTTTAACATTGTCAAACCTTAAGCGTTGTTTCACTATATAGTAGTTAAGTATAAGTAGGATCGAAAAAAGTAGTTAAATATAAGTAGTGATCGCATAATATAAGTAGGATCACTATAGAGTAGTTAAATATAATCTGAAAATCCAATACATATAACTTATTACACAAATTTTTAGCTTACCAAAAAAACGAAACAAAATTTACCCTGCCTGATGTGATGCATAAAATAAATTGTAAAAAAAAAAAAAAAATCGTTTCTTAAAAAATATATACTGAACTCCTTGCAGCATGACAAACTTCAACACACATTAATTGGTTTCATATATAATATAACATAAGTCCTAAACCATCAAGAAATGAGAAATCTACATCTTATATAATTTTTTAAAAATCTTTTTCCCCCATTTTTATTGGTGTTAATTATATGTATTTTTCAGAGAGCAAAAACTGCGTTCTTATCTAGTCAAAAAAGTTGAAGCCGGTCTCACATTGTAATCCCCACTAACATTCAATTCCCTATGATGTTTCATGCATGATGCACCACATAATATACTTGGACGTCAATATATATATATTCAATAATCTATTTTTTAAAATATTTGAATCGAGTATTAGAATTAAAACTAGAACTAAAGATTGATTCGACATCAGTTTGGTTACTAATTCTTGGCAAGAGGATGTTTAGGCTCTAACTACTAGGTCAATAGAAATATAGAATGTTGTAGTATTGTATTATCTAACTTCTTTTAAATGGGTTCGATGATTATTTCCTCCACTACTCATCGAAAGGTTTGACGAACCCCAAATCTTAGAAGAAACCGTATGTATGCCAAGCGTGTAACTTTCCTATGAGAAGCGATTGTTGATAAAGTTTTTGGAAGACAACTGAAGAGAAATATCTAAATATAAAAATGTTCACAAGCTTACATTTTGAAGGAGTTGTGACATGGGGAAGAATTTAAGGTTTAGAGATTTGTAAAAAAGTACCGACATGTATTGGTCTTCTTTGTCCTTTGTCTTTCTCTGTATGTCCAGTGCAATTTCCTAACCTTTTTCTAAGCACTTTAAGTGGAGTAAAATAGCTTCACTTTAATATCTTTGCTAAAAAAATAAATTGGTGACAACAAATAATAATTTTAAAAGGTAATTCATATATATATATATAGATACAAATTAAACAGAAAAATAGGAAATCAGGATGGTTCCAAGGCATGAAATTAGGGCACGCGTGAGTGATCTTAGGGCAAAGAGCCTAACGGCGAAGGAAAAGCATCACAAGAACAAAATAAACGTAAAACTTTTTAATCGTTCAATGGAAAAGTGTTATACCTCATCAACTATCCAACATAGGTTTGATAAAATCGTGTCTATTATCTTCTTCTGCATCACACTATACTTTTAAAAGACCATGGCCATACACAATATTGTACCGTACAAATAATCTATCGATAAATCTTAGCAAGCAAATGTGAGATTGTTTTCTTTAAAAATAAATACAATACACAAAGGTTTAAATCAACCAAAGAAAAGATCAATGCTTTTTTTTCTTTCTATTCTATCTAAATTATAGTACCTCCTGGTAGGTGCATTCTCCCATATGAGTCCGTGACATAACTCCAATCCTTCAGCATTTGAGTTATCCGAGCAACAAACTTAATTTTATACATTTTTCCTTGTTAGCTACTAATTTTATCGTTCCTGATGGAATCCAAATAAACATACATAACCTAAACAATTTGGTCTCTGATTGTGCTAAATACAAATAGTTGTGTTTTCGTGTACTAATATATCAATTTATAGATTTGTTCAGGTATATCCATATGTAAAAGAAAAACATAACATCTTTTCTACCGAGCATATCTTTTGAAGTTGGTAAATGAAGTCTTTCCAAAAAAAGGGCAATAACATAAAATCTTAATTTGCTCAAAACCAAAAAATAAACTGAAATCAACATTACTACAAACGAGGCAACACTTATAAGCCACGACAAAAAGGCAAAACCTACTCTTCGTCGAACAAACCAAAACCACCATCATAGTCTTCTTCGTCTGACTCTTCTTTCTTTTCCTCGACCTTAGCAGGAGCTCCACCTTGAGCAGCACCACCGCCTGCATCCGCAGACACTGCAGCTGCAGCAACAACAAATTTGCTGGGATCCTGCATTCCAAATTTTAAACCCGAGAGTTAACATTAACAACAACAATTACTCCAAGCTTCGGAAATCATATAGAAAAATGTAGAATTTAGTAACTGACCTTCAAGAATTCCTTGACCTTCTCTGCTTGAGGGAATGTGTAGTCAGTGGCAACAGCAATAGCTAGTGCATTCTTGTAGGCATTGATGAACATATGCGGAGCAGCAGCAAGAGTAGGGTACGAAACAGCTAGAGCCAAGGAAGTGACCATGGAGATACCAGAAGCAAACTTCTCCACAAGTTGATCTTCTGTAAGATCAAGAACCTCTGGGCTGAAGACGGAGCCATTGTCATAAACCGACTGGACAACAAGACCATATGAGAAAGGTCTAATGCCTAGCTTGGCTAGAAGGGCAGCCTCAGAAGACCCGACCTTGTCACCTTGCTTGATGAGCTCGACTGGAGTGATAATTTCGACAGTACCCTTGTTAATCTTAGTAGGGATGTTAAGAACCTAAACATTCCAAAACACATTCATGTTTCAATAACTTCGGATTTTGTATTCGAACAAAACCAATAAAGCACTACGATGCATGAGCAAGAACAAACCTGGAAGAAAGATGTTTGAGATGGGTCGAGACCAGTGTTGCCAGGTTGAACAACCACATCAATTGGAGCAACCAAACCCACACGAGCCGGAGCACCAACCTGTCCATATCATAAAAGACTACAATTTCAATCCAATCACACTGAGAAAGCATCAACATTTTACACAATCCAATACACAAGTTGATTCATATGAGCTACACAGACTAATCAAACATTTGCCATAAGAACAAAATCAAACAACCAACTAACCTTGTATTTGGCAACTTCCTCGCTCACTTCCTTGAGGTCACCTTTGGTGAAGATTAAACCAACGTTTCCCTGAAAACAAACACAGAAAAATCGAAAATTATAATCTAAAGTCTTCAGAGCCGAGAAAAATGTCAACATTTTCGGGAAGCTGTAATCAAACCTGAAGGAGGGGAAGCAAGTTCAAAACTGCAGTGTTTCCAGTGTTCTCGGAGTGGATCCTAACGGAACGCTTCATCATAGTGTTCTTCCCCATGAGAACCACTGAGTCTCCACGAAGACCTTTCCTGATGTTCTGAAGCTGAGTCGAACCGACGTTGTCGGCGGCAACGACTAGGATCTGAGTGTATTCGTCGATAAGCTGACATAGCTTAGCGTCATAAGCGATCTTCTTCTCTGCTTTCGTTGCCTTCACCATTGTTGCTCAAAATGATTAAAACTCAAATGTCCTCTGTTTCGCAGAGTGTTAAGAGGCGGCGGATGAAGGTAGCTAGGGTTTTCACGGCGATCCGAAAATCTAACGGTTTGTGATTACTTGCTTAATTTCTGATCTGACGGCTCTTATTTAATTTGTTGAAATTGGGCTTTAGGGCCCAAGTTGACAACATAACACGCGTGACGTTTTCTTTCTAATGATATGAAGGTAACATTGTGTCGTTATTTTTGTAAAAAACCACAGGGCGTTGATCTCTTTTGCCAGAGAAAAGCAGGAGCTTCTCCTTCTTCTTCATCGGGAAGAGCTCACCGTGATTTATTCATCGTTGTGAATTCTCTCCGATCATGTCGTCGAAGAAAGCGAAGACGAAAAATGAGGCAAGTAGCAGTCGTGGTGGCATCGGCGGAGAGAGTATAGTCGCCGACTGTGGACGTAACAGATCCACTTGCGGTTACTGTAAATCATCTACCCGCTCCAGTATCTCTCACGGTTAGTTGCCTCGCCATTGAAACTTTTGAAATTTCTTCTTTCCAATTTATCTTCGCTAGAGTTGGTGGTTGGATTGATCTGAATATTAGATAAGTCGAATAGAAAAAATTTGGAAAATTTGAAATTCCAATTACATATCGATCGTGATCGTGTCTCATTGATAACTCAGTCTCAGTGATCGTGTCTCATTTCCATTTCAGGGTTATTGACAGAGAGTCTCACCGTTAATGACTACCAAGGTTTGTTTCATCCACTTCTAGATATTTGATAGGGTTGTTTATGTGCAAGCGCAAAGCTTGAATTTAGCTTCTCAAGATTTGTCTTCGATTGAATCTTTTATGCTCACCATTTTGATTCATGTTTTCATTCTGAACTTAGTGGTCATTTTGGTGTGTTTTTGCTTTTCTTTTTGAGTAGCTCTTCTTGACCGTGGATGGAGACGATCTGGCTGCTTCCTTTACAAACCTGAGATGGAGAAAACTTGTTGCCCTTCTTATACAATCCGCTTGAAAGCTAGTGATTTTGTTCCTTCTAAGGAGCAGCAGCGAGTGCGTAGAAGACTGGAAAGGTATATATATCTATGGATGTACTCCTCTTCTCCCTTTCTTCCGATCAGAATATGAAATGTCTTGTTGAAGTTGTGTCACTTTCTCTCTCAACCATTATTTCCTCAAAGTATAACCACGTTCAATGCAGTCTCAGAATCGGAAACTACCCTTCTCCTTTTAACAGTTTCTGTGATGTTTTGTACAAAGGTTCTTGGATGGCGAACTAGATGCGAAATCGAGCGAGCAGACAGAAGAGAGAGACATTTCTTTCTCCCGCGAAGTTTCAGTGTCAGTAAGAGAATCACTTGGAGTTGCTAATAGAGAACAAAACAATCAAGTGGAACCAATCATGAAAGATTTGTCTGAAAAAATTGATGATGCGGTACAAAGATGCATACAAAGTGGGGAGTTTCCTTCTAATATTCAGATTCCCAAAGCTTCAGTGAAGAGAGTTATCTCTGCAAAAAGGAAGAAACTTGCTGAAGGGTCAGAAGAACTCTTATACACCAGCAATATTGCTTTTCCAATAGTAGCTGCTATTAGGCACACAGAGACATCTGTGAAAGGCGAGAAAAACAAAAACGTAGAAGAAAACAGATTATCACCAGAGGTTGTTTCTGAGAAGCTGTTAAGTGCAATGAATAAGGTGGGAGAATTTACTGCCTTTTCTGTTAAGGTCTGCAAAGGCCATATCAACTTCCTTTCAGCTACCCGAGTTACTTCCTTAGATAGAAATGAAGGTGAAGAAAGCCTTGGTACTACATCAACAAAGTCTTCTTTAAACAACCTTCATGCAAGAAAGAGGAAGCTGGAGATGCTCTTGAAAAGGTCGAGTTTTGATCCAGAGGAATATGAATTATACAAACGGTATCAACTGAAAGTGCACAATGATAAGCCGGAGAGCATCTCAGAGACTTCATACAAAAGGTTTTTGGTTGACACTCCATTGATTGAAGTTCCGCCTTCAGGTTATGATGATGAAGAAAAGATTCCTCCTTGTGGTTTCGGTTCTTTCCATCAACAATATCGAGTTGATGACCGTCTAATTGCTGTTGGGGTGATCGATGTTCTTCCTAAATGTTTGTCAAGTAAATATCTATTCTGGGATCCAGATTTTGCATCCTTGTCTCTTGGAAACTACTCAGCCTTGCAAGAAATCGATTGGGTAAAACAAAACCAAGCTCATTGCTCTACCCTTGAGTATTACTATCTTGGCTATTACATACATTCCTGCAACAAAATGAGATATAAAGCAGCCTATCGTCCATCCGAGCTTCTATGTCCTCTCCGTTACCAGTAAGTTCCCAAGACCACAAAACTAAGATCATATTCTGTTTATTCTTGTCATTTAAGAGAGAATCTAATTGCTTTTCTTGTATTTTCTTCACAGATGGGTTCCATTCGAAGTAGCCAAGCCTCTGCTTGATAAGAAGCCATATTCCGTCTTGTCCAATTACACTAATGTTTCTCTATCATCATCATCACCTCAAGCTTCTGAAACCCTAGTGGAATCCACGAGTGAACATGAAGACATGGAAAAAGGGAATACAAATAATGATGGTGATGAGGATGATGAAATGTATAACTCTGATGAAGACTCAGGCTCTAGCAGAAACCGGAGTGACATTACCAATATCCTTATCAGTCTTGATGGACCTCGACTTCGATACAAGGTACTATCAGTATCTCCGTATCATTGCTCTCTCTTTCTCTCTCTCTTTTTGGTATAATCATTAAATTCTCAACTTTGTAAAAACTTTTGAAAAAAATGTCTTTGAAGGATATACCACGGATCAAGAATCCTGTGGTTGAGAAACAACTGGAATCGATGTTGGTTAATTACCGGAAAGTCGTGGGGGCAGAGCTCTCGGAGAGAATGGTGTATGAACTACGGTAACATTAGGCTTAACTCAAGCCACTTGAAAGCATCTTGTAACATTATTAACAATAATATCAGTGATATCATGTTTTGTCATGTTTCTCTCTGTTTTGATCGCATGATACCAAAGATATGTAATTTTTAGTTCTAATTGTACAATTTCTCATTTTTCCGAAAATATTATTCTATCGCACAGATAGTTCATACTTCATAGTTTGTTAATTTCCTCTTTGAATCAAATGTATTATCTACAAAGAACCAAAGTGAGTTTGGTTTGAGTTGGAAATTTTTAAACTGAAATGGGCAACCCTGTCAAGCTCTGTTCTTGTAGTAAAGAACTTGGAAACAAACTAAAACCTAGAGATTTTTAACTGTATCTGTCCGAAGTAGTTGCAGCAAGACCAAACAATTGATCTCTGAAGCTGTCCTAATGTAAGATGGATGGTTTACAAAATGAGAATTAAAAACATTAAAAAAGAATAGAGAAGAGACGAAAGAGTAGGAGAGAATGTACAAATCAGATAAAAATTATGAGATCAAGCATCATCAGACTCGCTTTCTCCGGCTTCAACTTCTTGAGCCACCCAATAGTTGTTCCCATCTGGACCCCAAACCTTGTACCTGTCAAGAATATGAACAAATGCATCATCTCAAAAATCTCTTTCAAAGAAAAATACATCAGCGATTAAGGTTAATCCGGTATTAACCTCTCGAGAACTGATTTTCCTTCCTTGTACTTTTGATTCTTCTCAAAAGCAAATTCCTGAATAATTATTTATAAGATTAGATAAGCAAGCAAGAGCCAAATGCAGAAAACCAACAAAATAGAAGAAGAAGAAGAAGACACATTCTGATATTATCTTACATATCTCCATCCAACATAAGAGCCGCATTTGACACAGTAAATATCGACCACGGTGTGCATTCCCGTCATCATCATCCTATCTTCCTTCTTCCCAGCATACACATTCACCCTGTCCACACAAATCCAAAACTGGTGAAAATGCACAAGCTCTTCCTAATCCATCAATAAAGCAATTTCAAAAGGATCTTCAGGTTTTTTTTCAAATCTGGCTTCCAAAAAAACCCAAATCAAACTTGAAGAAGAAAACTTACACCTTACTGAAGAGGTAAGCTTTCCCATGCCGGGATTGAAATGACTAAAAACAGCAAACAAGATGTTGTCAGTATCTTACATTTGCCACACAATACAACATTGTGAAGCTAAGTATAAGAGAATAATGCAGAGACATTGTGAAGCCATCTAAAACCCAACTAAGACTCAAAGACTCCAAAAGGAGAGAGTCTGACAATGTCTTCAACCATAAGCTCTAATCGAGTGCATGTACCATCAATGATCAAATCCAAGATATGACACAGCTTAGGCACATGATAGTCTCAAGATCACGTACCATAGAAAGAGGAGAAAGAATCTAACAACGTTTGAAGCCATACATTGGTCTAATTTCCTACATCAGAGCAGCTTAGAAACTAAACAACCTAGAGGCAATCAAAAGACAGGATAGTCTCCAAACAAAGTATGCCCAATTCTCGCTCCTTTCTTAGCTGACCATGATAAATGTATCCATGATCGAGAGATATGATCATCTAGATTGCAGATATCATCAAAAGCTATATGATATTTCTTAAACAAATTAGAACATCTAAGAATGTAATCATCGAGACACAATCATAGTGGGAAGAAACCCCCAAATGATGATCTGATCAGCAGAAGAGATGAAATCGCAATAACCCAGATTAAGATTTTAGCAGCAAAAGTAAAAACCCAGTAAATCAAAAAAGAAAAAAATCATCAGATTCAAACCTTAGAGACGACATCATCGTAGAGGCCAAGATTGGTCTTGCAGTGCTTACAACTGTAAGACTTACCTTCCAAATTCACCAAGAACAATCTCCCCATCTCTCTCTCTCTCACTATCTCCAGAAGAATCTATAAAAAGCAAAAAAACCAAATCTTCTTATTGTGCTAAGCTAAACCAAAAGAAGAGTGTGTGCGTGTGATAAAAGAGAAGATGATCATTAATTACGGAAGGCTGGAGTTTAGGATTTTTCTCCCGATTTTGGGTGAAAGGAAGAACCTTTAAAATAGTGAAAAATCAAAAATGTTCTTTGACGACATTATAAAAAAAAGAAAAGGAGCTCACTTTTTGCTGTAGTAACGTGGACCTGACAAAGTCATGGATGGCCTGGGAATATACGGAACTCGTTTTTTATGCGAGTTTTACGATAAATCTCTTTAGTATCCTTTTTCATATTACTTGCTAAGATTGATTGGAATACACGTGTTTTGCTTCTTATCGTTTGATTTGAGTGTAAACCCTCTGGACGATAAAGAGTCTTCCATAGAGCCGAAGACACACCCACCCAGCCGCTTCTTTCTGCGTCGTATCATTGAACTACGGCGAAAAAAGGGCTTTTGGGTTTTTTCCTTCTGCTTCCTCAAAGTCAAAATCTCATCTCTCACTCTCAGTTAGTCGCCGGGAACTCCTAAAGAACTCCGAAACTTATCCCAAAAGATTCTGAATTCTGAGACCAGCTTTGCAAACTGTAGCAGCAAAAGACGAAACCTTTGAATTTTAAGGGAAGCTTTTGAGTTTCTCTTGGGTTACTTAGAGGATAGCTGGTAAGTGGTAACTAGGTTTCCATCAATATACATCTCTCGTTATGTGTTTTGTGCTTTAGCTATTTTGTTAGTCCTGCGATTATAGTTTCCGCTGCATGACAGTTGTTCGATGAAATGTCTGAATAAATCAGAAAGTAGTGAATTCATTGTGAGTATAGAGGAATTTAGTAACGGCGTATTCGTTTGTTTTGTTGTTGGTTTTGGAATTTTTTAGATTTTTGAATCTGGAGTGTTGCTTGTGTTGATTGCTTAATTTGGCTATGGCTGCACCCACCGTTCGTAGTAGTGGCAGCAGCTTCTCTCGCAATATATCAGTTGTGTCATCACCTCAGATACCTGGTCTCAAGTGCGGTCCTAATGGCACAACCTTTATATCAACTGGAATTCGTGATCTTGACAGTGAGATTTCTCCATTTGTGTTTATTTATACATCAAGTTTACATGAGGATGACTTGATGAGAGAATTTGGTTTTGGTGCTAAAAGGATTTATCTTTCATATTGTTTCCAGGGATATTAGGTGGTGGCTATCCTTTAGGGAGCTTAGTAATGGTGATGGAAGATCCTGAAGCACCGCATCATATGGATCTCTTAAGAACTTTCATGTCTCAGGGTCTTGTTAACAACCAACCACTTCTTTATGCTAGTCCTTCGAAAGATCCGAGAGGGTTTCTTGGCACTTTGCCGCATCCTGGATCGTCTAAAGAGGATAATAAGCCTACTGCACCCGAGCCTGATCAGGTGCTTTTTCTTGTTCTTACCTTCTTTCTATTTGATTTTTTTTCCTGGCATGACATGAGAATTTAGTTACAAATTGGGTAGTTTGCACTGTGATCAATTTTGTAGGGAGAAAGCTTGAGGATCGCTTGGCAGTATAGGAAGTATTTGGAAAACCAGAAGAATTCTGTTGGTAATTTAGTTAGTGCAGTTATATAATTCTTTCCATGTCATTCAAGAATAAATTGAGAGCTACTAGTAAGTTAATATCATTCTTTGGAAACATAATCCTCTTTATCTTCGGGATCAGATGATTACTCCAATGACTTTGATATGAGAAAGCCCTTGGAGAGGCAATTTCTTAGCGGGCGGCCGATAGATTGTGTCAGTCTGTTAGACTCTTCGGATCTTTCTGTTGCTCAAGACCACTGCACTACTTTTTTATCAAAATTTCCAAGGTTGTCTGGCACCTCTTTCTTATTTGATGCTTAATTACTTCTTTCTAGTTTTGAATCCATAAATTTTGTTAGTCCACTTCCATATCTATGCTGCAAAATGTGCATAGCTCAATTTTTTGACATCTCTCATATCCTTCGAAATGTGCTGCATTCGTAGTAGGGGTTTAGATTTTGAAGTGCTCCTAATTTAAAGATGATACAGCGTGTTTATATTGTTCGTTACTTAATCAGATATTGTTCAAATTGTTCTCTTAATTTACTGTCTCTGTTAAGAAGCTTATTTTTTTTGCTTAAGAACCTGTGTGATGATTTCCACAGAAACAGTAATAACATTGCATCCGTTGGTCGCATCGCAATCCAGTCATTCTGCTCTCCCTTGTGTGAATATTCTGAAAAGGTAATAAGGAGAATTCTCTGTATCTTCTATCTTATATTACTTCAACAAGGCTTTCTAACTAAAATTCTACTGACTCTATAATTTATGAAAGCTGGAGCTTGTACCAGGATCATATGTTGTTATGTAATATCGTGTTAATTTTTTTGGCACATTTTGTTTCTGTCAACACAGGAAACAGACATGCTTTCGTTTATAAGACTGTTGAAAAGTATGTTGATGGTTTCAAATGCGGTAGCCATTGTCACTTTCCCGCCTTCCCTGCTCTCCCCATCTTCCTCAAAAAGACTGCAGCACATGGCGGACACCTTACTCTCTATCAAAGCAATCCCAGGTTTTGTTTCTCTGATATTCTTATCCATTAGTAGATGATCGTACTTGTTTTTGACAAAATATCCTTGATTTTTCCCAGATGGTGACAAGGAATTGGAGAAACTCCTCACTGGCTACAAAGACATAAATGGATTCCTCAACATACACAAGGTTGCTCGTATCAATACACAGGTATTTTTCCATTTTACAATGTAAAGATGACATTACATACACAAGGTTGCACAAATGAACTTGCCTTGGAGACTGTAGAAAAATGGATTCAGTTTAGTCCTTAAAACACTGGTTCTATCTAAATTGTGAAATGGAACAGGTGCCTGTAATTCTTGAGGCAAAAACCTTCTCAATGAGCTTGAAGAAGAGAAGATTCTTGGCTCTAGAGTGTCTGAATCAAGCCCCTGTAGACGGGTCCAGTGGAACATCATATGGTACATCGGGGAGCTGCTCAGGATCATCCAAATCCGGAGCACTCGATTTTTGAGTTGCTGAGTTAGTCTTTCTTTACTTCTTCTTCTTAAGGCTTTTGATTGAGTTCTCTCATGAACTAAGAAATTTACATTAGAGTGTTTGGTCTTAAAAAACAGTTTTGACCTTGTCCAAAATAGAATTAAAGGTGTATTGTACGATGAAATCTAATTGACTTCATATTGTCTTATATGCCAAGCCAAACTATGTCCAATAATAGAAGCTAATTACTAAACGGTCAATTAGCATGTTCACGTGGTTATTGTATACTCCATAACATATACTACTATAGAAATGAGTTGGAGGGGCATTGAATGTAAGTGTTCAAAAATGTGGTTGATCTATATTTGGTGCTCCTTTAATTTGGAGTTCCTTCACTTACCAACCAACGACCATATCATTTGAATTATTGCTCATAAATCTCTTTCTGTCTACCCAATTTCTTTTATTTACTACCCTATTCTTTTATTGACTTTCTCCTTCTCAAAGATTATATATTAAATATATATAAAAAAATTGGTCAGTTTTTATAGGATTTGTGATTCAGATAGCTTTTCAAGTAAAAGAAATAAATATTATAGAAACAAAAAAACGGAGAAAACTAATATATGAGAGAAACAAATCCTTAAAAAAGGAAATGACAGTTGATAAAAAAAAAAAAGGAAATAACAGTAATGCACGTGAACAAGGTTTTTTTTTTCACTTATTGTTTTGTTTGTTTTTTTATTGTTTTTTCTTAATTTTATATTTCGGTTATATATACAAGAATAAATATTACTACAAAACAACGAGACGTTTATTGCATTTAATCTCGCACCAAACGAACACAAGAGTGTGAGAGAGAAGATCGCTCACGTTTGTTCATCTCCTGCACCGACCGATCTCATTGCGGCGGAGGAAAGAAACAGCCAGTTTCCAGGAAGAGAGACGTGATTTTGTGTGTGTTTTGAGAAAGAGAGGTTAGAAAAAGAAAAAAATGGTTGGACCGTCGCGGCCTCAGATCGTTTTGTTTGGATCATCCATTGTTCAGATGAGCTTTGGCCACAGTGGTTGGGGTGCTATTCTCTCCGAGGTCTATGCTCGCAAGGTATCTTCCTTCCATTTCATCTCTCTCTCTCTCTCTCCCTGGATCGCCTTATTAATTACTCTGTAATACGTAACGTAATTAACGACTGATAGAGATTGCAGAAGCTTGATTACGGAATTACCCTAATAGTAATAGTTCTCCATTTGTATGTTTTTGTTATCTTTCTTTGGAATTACTATCAAAATGAAAAGCAAGAAGCTTTGCGGTGTTTGTTGTTTCAGAAAGAAGAAAAAATAAGAAAAATTGCATTTAGTGCACAAAACTAAATGCGGTGGGAGATATAGAGAAATTTAATGTGGTACTCTCTTTGAATGAACAAACATGTGAGTGACTACTGATTGTTTTTGTATGAATGACGTGTGTATAGGCCGACATCATTCTGCGAGGATATTATGGATGGAACTCAACTCGTGCTTTGGAAGTTGTGGACAAAGTGTTCCCCAAGGTACTTTTTCAATGTGTTTTTCTTGGTTCATTCTCTCTTGTGAAATGCATTCCCCAGTCCATTAGTTTTTTTCTTTACTAAATGCTGCCTGCATCTGTTTCAAGGGATATGTCACTTGTTTCTTGATATCTTATGCTGTTTCTTCTGGAGTTTTAAAATGGTTCAAGTCTCCATGCACCCATCATTTATAATTTGTTAGAATGAGCTTAAAGTTTGTTACAATCAGTGTACAATGCTTCTGTTTTCCTCTTAACTTATGATGGTAACATGTAATGGAAGCAGGATGCTGCGGTACAACCTTCCCTGGTGGTTGTCTATTTTGGAGGAAACGACTCAATGGGGCCTCACCCTTCTGGTCTAGGACCTCACGTACCGCTTACTGAATACGTTGATAACATGAAGAAGATCGCTCTTCATATTAAGGTTACCTTTTTTTTTTGAATTGTTGATCTATGAATCTTTCTCCTGTTTGTCACCTTAAAAAGCCTTTTGAAGTGGTAACTTCTTTCCCTATGAAGAGATGGACTAAAGGCTTATGTTCCATTATGCATTTTGAATCTCTCATTCTTAATCGTTGCACGCTGCAATTATAACATCATCCTCTATGTTCTGTTTCAGAGCCTTTCTGACTCAACCCGTATCATATTTCTTAGTTGCCCTCCAGTGGACGAGGCCAAAGTTCGTCAGAACCAAAGGTATAACTTCCCTGAATTTTTCCACTATCAGTTTGTTAGTGTTGCTCTTTGTTAGCTCTCCTGACTTAATAATGTTTCCTTGCTTCTTTTTCTCTTTCATAAGCCCATACTTGAGCGAGGTGATCCGCACAAATGAGCTTTGCAAGGCTTACTCAGATGCTTGTGTGGAGCTGTGCCAAGAGCTCGGCCTAGAAGTAGTTGATCTCTTCTCCACTCTTCAGAAAGCAGATGACTGGAAAAGTGTTTGCTTCACGTAAGTATTTCTGAGTCTTCCTGCAATACCAAAAAACAATGCTATAACCACTCGAGCTTATATTGGCAACGGTTTGTATTGTGACGTTTTTACAGAGATGGGATACATTTGTCAGCACAAGGAAGCAAACTAGTGGCGGCAGAGATACTAAGAGTGATTAAAGAAGCGGAATGGAAACCGTCGCTTCACTGGAAATCAATGCCAACCGAATTCTCCGAGGACTCTCCGTATGATCTTGTTTCAGCAGATGGCAAAGAGACACTAAACTCTTCAGAATGGACATATTTCTGGGAAGAACAATGGGACTAAACATTTAAATACATACAACAAGAAGAAAAGAAGAACAAGAAGACCCTATCTTTATATAATTTGCTGTCATAATGTGATAAGCATTGCTTTAGAATTGTTTACAAGTGTCTTCTCTGCTATAATCTGATTCCACTCTAAAAAATGTTACCATTTCAAAAGTCTTTGTTATCGTCCTGCTTTACTTTTTAAACTTATAACACAGGAATCAAATCTTGTTTCAAAGGAACATACAAATGATTGTCTGCAATACGTTTAGACATCAACTAATGTCTTCAAACTTATGGCTTCGGACAGGGGTTTAGTGTTTAATGTAAAAATCACAAAGTGACTGAATTTGGTTTGATCAACAAACCACATACTGTACGATAGTTGTAAGAAATCGAACATAAGGGCCATGATTTTGGGCCTAAAACCTAAAACAGAAATCGAACATATAAAGGCCCAAATAAAGAAGACTATACCTAAAGCGACGCATCTCCCTTTTCACGACCAAACCGCTGACGCAACCAAACTCCAAAAATAAATAAATAAAAAAACTAAAAAAAAGATAGAAAAAAATTAAAAGTCTCTCTCTCTCTTTCTTCTTCTTCCGTCTACTTCTCCTCCATCTCCTTCCAACTCTCTCTCTCTCTCTATCTATCTCATTCTCTCTCTCTCTTCATGCCCGAGCGCATCGGGTCTCAAAATCCATTGATGCAGACCTCGATCCTTCTCTAGTAGAACTGATCTATACATCTTATTTATACAATCTTCTGATTACACTTAATCTGTACAGCTATGGCCGCCGCAACCGTTTCCTCTAACCCTCGCACCGTGGAAGAGATCTTCAAAGATTATACCGCTCGTCGTACTGCTCTTCTCCGTGCTCTCACTAAAGGTCTAACCTTCAAATCCCCTCCCCCCTCTAAATCTCCCAGATTTCTTCGTAATGCCTTTGGATTTTTTTCCTTAACTGGTTGGTTTTGTTTTTTTTTGTTCTCCAGATGTTGATGATTTTTACTCTCAATGCGATCCGGGTAAGAAAAATTTCGATTTTTAGATACCCTTTTGTCTCTTTTTTGAGATTTGATTCCAAATTGGTTGATGTTTGTGTGTGTGTTTGGTATAGAAAAGGAGAATTTGTGTTTGTACGGACACCCTAATGAGTCATGGGAAGTGAATCTACCAGCTGAGGAAGTGCCTCCGGAGCTACCTGAGCCTGCGCTTGGTATCAATTTCGCTAGAGATGGTATGCAGAGGAAAGATTGGCTTTCTCTAGTGGCTGTCCACAGTGATTGTTGGTTGCTCTCTGTTTCTTTCTACTTTGGAGCTCGCCTGAATCGGAACGAGAGGTATTTTCTCTTTTAATCCCTTTTTTCCAACACAATTCGATTGAGCATTCTCATTGTTTTGAGCTTTGTGGAGCCAAGTCTTTCACTTTTCAATGGGTTCTGTGTTCTTCTTTCATGAAACCCAATACTTGTTTTCCTGTTATGTTCCTTAGCTCTTCTGATGTGAAGTAAATATTGATACTTTGTGATCATTATGGTGTTTTGCTTGAAATGAGATTGTCTTTGAATGTTATTTTGTCACCTTTGATGTTTGTGAATCATTTCCATCTTATGATATGTTTTCGACTGGCTCAGACTCATATATATGGACTTCTTGTTTGTTGCATGACTTCATCTATCTTAACTTTTCTCAGCTTTTTCTGGCATGTAAAACTAGATTACGTTATTTGTCATACTTTTTTTTTCTCCTTAACCTTACATGCCTTCCGCCTTGTATTGATATCTCAGAGCTGATATTTTATAGAATTATGTGGCGAATTTCACCATTTCATTGTTACATCTGAACACATATCTTTGTAAGTTGTAACTATGGAAAATCCCAAAAATTATGCTGAAAAAGGTTTTGTGAAAGTTGAATGCCGACCAAAAAAATTGCCATAGATTAGTACTAATGAGATCATATCACAGTCAATGTTTGAACAATCGTATTTTGGTTATTATCTTTTTCATTGTTCTTCAAGATTCTCGACTTTGTTTGATCGCACTAGTAGTTGCATTATATATTAACAAGTCTCTAAAGTGATGGTTTATCTACTATTGTAGCTCTCTTATACTAAGTAAAAAGCATTTGGTAGATGCAGTCCCAAGGATAGGGAATCTAAACTTATGTAGCTACAAACATATATGCTAGAATCCTAGATAAACATTACAATTGTTTGCTGTATTGATATGAAGATTCTCTTATCACGTTTTTCCTTTCTGCTTTCTAATATAGTTACTTAGCTTCTCTCAGCCACCTTTTCCTATGTGTTGTTTACTCATTGAGTTATGTCATTTGTTTGTTTGCAGGAAGCGGCTATTCAGTCTGATCAATGATCTCCCAACTCTCTTCGATGTAGTTACTGGTAGGAAACCAATCAAAGACAACAAGCCAAGCTCAGATTCTGGAAGCAAATCCAGAAACGGCACTAAGGTACATAGGAAAAGAAGCTTCCGTTTTCTTCTTTTTTTTTTTTGTTCTGTAGATATTTTGGTTTCTCTCCTTGAAAACAAAAAACAAAAACGGATTTGCAGAGATCAATAGATGGGCAGACAAAGAGCTCAACACCAAAACTAATGGAAGAGAGCTACGAGGATGAGGACGAAGAAGATGAGCATGGAGACACTCTCTGTGGAAGCTGTGGAGGTAATTACACAACTGATGAGTTCTGGATTTGCTGTGATGTTTGTGAACGTTGGTACCATGGGAAATGCGTTAAGATAACTCCAGCCAAAGCAGAGAGCATTAAGCAGTATAAATGCCCGCCTTGCTGTGCCAAGAAAGGAAGACAGTGATGGTGATGAATTGATGATGACCACCTCTCAGAGAGGCTCTGGTTCTTATGTTTTAATCCATATGTTAATCAACTTTTTTTTTTCTTTCTTTTTCTTTAACCTTTTTAATTTAAAAGCATACAAAACTCTCTCTTTATATCTCCACAAAGGCACAAAGGGATTTCAAGAAGTTGAGAGAGAGAGTAGCAGCTGTTTGAGTAATATTATTATTATTCATATAAAAAGAAAACCATCAAATGTGTCATGGGATTTGTATCTATATTAGTCAAATCTTTAAGCATTGAACTGTATTTTACACTTTTAATCTTCTCTTAGGTTTTCTATTTATCTTAAGAATATTTCTTTCTTCACAATTTTACAGAAACTTGTCCAAAATATTGTGAGATATCAAGGCGGATTTGATAGTCTTCTCATTTGGCTTGAAAGGGCCAACATGTTTTGCAAGTTCTAAAGGGCACGTAAATGGGATCGCAATCTTGTAGATGAGTTTTATATACATATAGTTTTGTAATTAAATATCTGTCTTTAAAACACACAACACAGAAAAGAAAAAAAAAAGAAAAAAAACTAGTGATGTGTTCACTTGTTAGTCAATAATCTATATAATCATTGTATATTTATCCAAAATAAATTTTATAAATGTATTTCAAATGGCTAACCTAAAATAAAATTTACTCACCGAATATTATAATACTATCAAGTAAAATTTATATTCATCGACTGCAAATCAAAAACTATGATTCGATAACATTGACAACGATTTGTAACTTAGTGGTGGTTTTGGTTTGTGCTAATGTATTGTAGTTTTTTTAAAACAAAACAAATCATCAATTTAAAAGAGTGATCATGTATGTTTATCAAGAAAGACAATCTGCAAGAATAGCCAGCATGAGGCTCACACTCACAAGTCACAATACATACAATTTTAGATTTGGGTAGTAGAAGTGTTACTATAAGTCCGTCCAGTCTTCTTCGTAACCGCTAAGTTAGAAGCTCCCAAGTCTCAACTATATATTATAAAGAACTTAGAGCGGATCTAACAAGATTCTGTAACATATATGGTCAACACGAATTATCCTTTTTTATATACACTACATCTTTAAATACTAGTTATATAAGTTGCGTTCACATGTCCGTCAATTTGTATGCAATTCTTTTTTTTGAGATTTTTTGTTTTTGTTTTTCTGATATATATATGGATTAGTTGCTCAATCAATACAGAGAAGACTAATACCGATAAGCTCCATTATTAATGTTACTAATCATAGAGAAAGGCATGATTATTTATTAGCATGCTTCAACATTAATCACGGATACAGATTAATTATATTAATAAAACGACATACTTAGCGAGTTTACATAACAGAATACGACAGAACCCAAAATGTAAATACATATAGAGAGAAACTACATTGCAAGGTTCATTACACACTACATTATTGGTATTTAATTGTTTTACTTTGATATATATATATATATGTTCGGCGGTCTTTGGGATCTCTTGGTGGTTCTTTGGGCTTCCATAGCTTGATATCCTTCAGTATACATATAGGGAATTATTAAAAAGATTAATGTATATAGATGCACACTACTGTTAATTAATTAACTGCGTTGCATAAGAGAGAACTTACATTTTTGTGAAGTTCATATCATTTAACGAGGGGGTATATGAGACTCAACGAGGGATTTTCCACGTGGACCTTGCGTCCTAATGAAGAGTCTGTACTGATCAAAGGTCATGGGAGGATACAGAGGAGGCATCGTAGAGGTGACAAGTTGTTGCATTGGTTGGATCGGAATGTCACTCTTAGGGTTGTAGAAGAACGCTAGTGAAACCCTTTCTTTTTCCGAATTCACTGTCACTCGATGTTCCACGCTCTTGTACTTCGAATTGCTTAGTATCTGCTCATTTTTTAAAACACAAATTGTTTGTTAGTAGCATAGCTTTATTTTTGCATACAAAACAAAAAGTATAGCTTTATCAAATTACTTCTATTACATATATGACTTAATATTGTTCGTAATCAAACGTAAAATCAATGACCATCCTTTTGTAATAATGCTCAATTTGTGCATGCGCTTTCAACAAATAATTAGTTTGTGGTATTTTTTTTTTACAAATAATTTAATTTTTTTTGTTGTTGTATTTTGCAACATGATTATTGTCTTATGAGTGTACTCTTAAAAGTTAAAACGACAAAATATACTTCTCCATTTATTTATATAAAATATTATCGTCTTATATAAAATCCAATCACTTGATGCTATGTACGTAAATGACATATATAAATCATTACCACTTTTTAAAGAAAAATCTCTACTATATTTAAAATCTATTGGCCTGAGGTTTTATTAAAACGGTTAGCTACATATTGCTATTTTAAGTCATCTCTAAAACGTGGAGCTACAACTAGGATCCTCTATCAAGTAGCTCTCAGCACCAACTATCTCAAGACAATAATTAGTGTTTTATCTTTTTTTTGTCAACATTTCATCGAGTGTTGATTTAAGTAGCATCAACATTGTATTTATATTTCTTAGTGGCGGAATGTCTTTTTTTTTTGTATGTGTATATTGTGTAGTTAATAAAAATATTGGAAAATATAGAATTGAAACTTAAGAGAGAAAAAAAATTAAAGCAAAAACGTTTTGTAAAAAAAGTTTACCTGAACTTGATCGCCGATATTGACGATGAAAGCGTTGGGGTGAGGATTGACAGTGATCCACGTGTCACCGTGACGGACTTGAAGGCCGGTGACTTGTTCGTCCGGCAAGAGGATGGTAATGCCGCCGGGATCGGAATGAGGAGAGAGGCCGAGGGCAAGCTCAGGTTGAGGACATTTTGGGTAATAGTTAGCCCTCATACATGCACCAACGCCATCTCCACCAAATGCTTCTTGAAGCTGTTCTTCTTTCAGCCCCAAGTTTGACGATAAGATCGCCATGAGTCTCCCGCCTAGCTTCACTAGCTCCTTCCCGTACTCATCAGTCACTTCTCTAATGTCGTCCATTTCAAGAAGAAGAAGAAAAAGCATTATACATCAACTCTTTCTTAGACAATACGTTAATTTAATTAAATATATTCACACATGGTAGTATATAGTATATAATTAACATGATCGCCAATCAACATAACAACACATGAAATCATTTTGTTTTATAAATTATTTTTGAAAGACCAGAATCATAGTTTATGGTTCCTTATTACAGAAAAAAATAAAAATAAAATAAAAAATATAAAAAAATAATAATAATTCATAGTAGTTTCTGACCAGAGTCTAAAAAACTACCCCATAAATGATCGGATTACACTAGTTATAAATTCCCAAAACTTGTTATCTAAACAAACTCATAGATAAGTAAAAGATATAGACTCTATACTATAGAGGCTTAATTAGTTACCTAATGTTGGAAGGTAGAGAAGGCCATTTGTTGAAATCCTTCAAAGGAAGAGGACGAAAATGGAGAAAGTAATAATCATTCCAATCAAGAATGGCTCCTTTCTCTACACCCAATCTGCTTCCGTATCCTTCATAGGTCCTTGGGGAGTTTGAGTGAACTTCTTTGTCTTCCACGGGCAAGTTGAAGAAGCTTTTCCAAGTTTCTCTAGCTGCGTCCATCAACTCCGGCTTCACCCCATGGTTGATCACCTGTAAATTTAGAACTCGGCCTTAATTATAAACAAAATATTATAAGCCGACACGTATTTCTAAAACTAGGAAAAAAAAAAACATACAAAAGTGAATAGAACCGAACCGTAAAAGTGCAGTGCGATTCATACCTGAAAGAACCCCCATTCACGGCATGCCTCCGATATCTTCTTCATGTCGTCTTCGTTGCCTAAGAAGAGGCTGTCTAGGTCTATGACCGGGATATTTAAGGCAGCAGCTTCCGGTTGGTGGTTGGTGATGGTGGTTTGAGGGCGTTGAGATGGCGGCTTGATGTAACGGTCGGGTACGGTGCTGAGGTTGCTCTCGGCTAGGGACTGGACTCGGACGATGGGTTCTGGCCACGTTTCGCCAAGGCCATTCTTGTTCTTGGCTTCGATCTTGATCTCCTTCGTGTTCTTGTCTTGGTCACTCATGTTGTCTGTTTTGACTTCTTGTTCTTGGTCGTTGAAGCTGTTCTTGCTCACGGTCTCGACCTTGGTCTCGTCTTGGTTGTTCATGTTTTCTGTTCTGGCTTATTAGTCTTGCTTTTTTTCGTCTACTTGTTCATGAGAAGTTGTAAGTGGTGTTATATATAGAGGTGGTGTGGTTTACTGGTTAATTAGAGAAAAAGAAGGAGAGATAGGAGTGAAAGAAGAATTGGTTTAACCAAAATAAATAAATTATGAATATTAATTAGCTTACGAACAAACTCGGATTGACATATTTCAGACTATCCTCGTGAATCCGAATAGAAATTAAATTACTTTGTAGAAAGTGTAACTGAAGAGATTGTAACTGATGTTGGAATCAGTAATCGTAACCGATGAGGGAATCGAATAGAGTCCATACAATTGTAGCTGTGTGTTTGTTATTTACTTTATGAAAACGTTTATTAAATGTGCTTTTTTGATACGTGGTAAAAAAAGGTTGAAAATGATGTGAAGGGATTTCAACTAATAAGACGTTGAGTTATTAATTATTTTTAGACATATATGATAGTAAATCCAAATCTGAAAAGTACATTTTCCAATGGCAAGTTTTTTAGCTTGCTAAATAATTTAGAATATTATATAGGGGATATGTGGAAGTATTTTTTTCTTACAATTTTATAAAGGCAATATGACACTACATAGTTCTTCTATATATATATGTATGGTGAAATAAACTGCATGGATCTTGTAAGAAGAGTAACAACGGCTGTAACTAATAACTATATACAAGTCTCTGTAATGTTATTCTGTCCATTTTAAGTAGACATATTTTTTCTTGACAGATTATAAATTCACTCTTTAGTTTCGCGATCTCTGCATAATTTACTTCTGCATGTGTATAAATGGACGGTTACATGCATGTTGACTTATCTATCTATATATTTTATGCCACTTAAAGGTGACACTTGTTGAATATCAGAATATTATAACTAACTTTAAGAACTACAATTAAAAACTCAAGAGTAAAAAAAAAAAAAAAAAAAAAAAAAAAAACTCAAGAGTATCATCAAAGACGATTATTTTTGTGGCATGCAGTAGTAAAGTAGGCGCCCGCAGATTATTTTTGTGGCCTCACGCTCGTTGTGTGGTATATTCAACGTACCCCATCAAACTTTTTCTTGTTGATTGTTTTTCTAAACCATATTTACTTAAAATAGTTTAGTTCAATATTACTTTTGTTGGATTGTTTAAGTGGGGTGGATGCACAAATAAACTTACCCAAAAGAGAAATGTAACATGGGCAAAACTTGTATTAATAAGGGGATGGTTCGTCGTTGACCACTTGACCATCTAAAGGAGAAGGCCGACTTCCCAATAATGGAAACATGGTTCATTGAATTTGGAATTGGAAGGCACATGTACTTTACTAACCAACTACTTATTGTGTAACAAACGTACTAAATTCCCATTTCTCAAAATTTTCAATGAACTAAATTTAGGGATGTTAGGAAGAATAATTATGGTTGTGTTGATATATTATGTGGAACATAACCTAAAATAATGTTTGGACACTTAAGAAACAGTACATTAGCTTAAACGAAAAGCAAAATATCTATTTATAAAAGTTGTAAGTTGTTTAGTTACCATGTTACTAACAAATCATGTTCTATTTACACAAAATACTTACTCTTTATTTGTATGATGCATTGCATATTGAAAAATTACTTCTATCTTTAGAATTTGGAGAAAAAATAAGTTTCGTCTAAAACATGCTAACACAACACCAATTGAGTATATTATATAGCTTCAGTATCGAAAACACATTTGTTGTTTCCATCTGATTGTATTCAGAGATACAGACACTAACTGGTCTATGGTAGGTGACAATAAATTGACAGTAAACAAAAAAAATCAGCTAGTCAGAAATAGAAGAACTTCACAGCTTCTCCCTCTATCTCTGCCTGCTTCATTCAATTTGCTCTCACTTTGATATCTCCATAGAGGTTTGGATCTGCTTTATAGTATACAATGTCTCCTTCATCGCTCACGTAATGATCTTCTTTAATACTTTTTGATAGAATTTCCAGTAAATGTAATGGCAAAGGTCCAGACTTATCAGGCTCCCTGTAATACTTCCCTAATACTGGTTTAGCTGCCTCCGTCTGCAAAACAGAGGAGCAAGTAAAAAAGCAAAAGCTTTTAAGCATTTCTCGCATGAAAACTGATATTACCAACACATATACAGTCCATTAGTTTACGTTTCGATTACTTACTGCTTCTACAAGATGATAATGTGGGATCTGCGGGAAAAGATGATGTATCACATGCGTTCCAATGTCATGATGGATGTTATTGATCAATCCATAGTCACGATCCAATGTTGTAAGTCCTCCTCTCAGGTAACTCCATTCCTGTTGTGGGAGAATCATAAGATTTACGAAGCATTGGCTTTTGACCTTCAAAGAGAGAGAGCACTATAGTGAAAGAAGAGATTATGCATATTACCTTCCCACGGTACCAAGGGAGCTTGTCTTCATGACCGTGGTGATGCAGGTACGTGACAAAGTCCAACCACATTACATTTATCTGTATTTGACATAAAAACAATTTTCGGGTTAAACAGGTGAAATAAAACACAAATTGCTTAGTATGAAACAGGGGAGTTCACAGCAGCGCATTACCCAATAAGGAACTACGTAGAGTTTGAGCATTTGAATTGGACCAACCACGAAGCTGAGACAGATAAGCAGAGCAGCCATTGCAGTCCAACAAGCCGTAGAAGTGAGGACATCCTGTTTCTCTTTAGGGAGGAACAAGTCGCTGTCCGGATGGTAATGAGAACCCTTTTTCCCCGGACTTCGAGCCCACTGAATCAGATGAAGAAACATTAGCCTGCTTACTTAATGTGTCATCTTAAGTTAGGGTAACAAATAAACGAGCTTTACCAAGTAGAAAGGGTATGCGAGCATCACGAGAGGCAGTGTAAATCTAAAGAATCTAGTCGGTTTGTCCAAACTCTGGTAGATTTTCTCAGACATCTGTAATCACGAAAACATTAAGAAAACATCGTCTAAGAAACACCAAACGATCAAAACAAGATAACCAAAAAGCCGGATTGACTTACAGGATGCCAAGATTCGTCGTTCTCAACATGTCCATGGTTCTGGTGGTGAGTTCTGTGACTAATTCTCCTGCAGACCAAGAAAAATAATTTATTTTACATGAAGAATATGAGATTCTGAAAGTGGTTATAGAGAAGAATGATATGAAAGCAAAACTCACCAGCCATGGTAAGGTACCAGAATAGATGAATGAAGAAGATGACCCACCACACTATTCAACCTCGGATCATTTGAGAAGCTACCATGTCCACTGCAATGTGATGAACAGAAATTAATAATTTTGTTGACAATTCAAAGGAGATTACACAGTTTGGAACCAATAACCAGTTGCCAATTGGGTTGGTCTACAAGCAACATGATGATGATGATGAAGATGATAATGACAGCTTGTTACCACAGAAACCAATTATGTCCAATAGCAATTGAAGAGATAGGGGAACAAAGATGTAAACCAAGATTTGAGTTCAATTGGTTCCAAATGAATCATCCAAAGTTGACCAAATCAGAGGATACAAGACTAAAACAAGAGGAGAAAACAACAAAAATAAGAATTAAGGTTTTTTACCAGTCATGACCGAGAACAAAGAGAGCCCAAAACATGGTTCCTTGTGCGAGCCAATAGAGAGGCCAAACAATCCAATTGTTGAGATAAGCAGCTCCAGCAGCCAATGCAAAGACGATAGCGACATCTCTCACAACATAGCTCATAGACTTCCATGGGTTCTTAACCCAACAATGCTTAGGTATAGCTGCTCTAATATCCGCTAAATTGAACGGAGGAGGCGCACCTGGGTCAAACCTCTGCTTATCCTCTTCGTGTTCTCCCTCCAATGGAGACTCATCAACTATTGGTGTCGTCAATGGCACGCTCACATTTAACCCCCAATTCCTCCGGAACCTATCTCGTGAATTCAGACCAATAGCTAGAGGAGACGATGTTTTGGAAGAAGGAGACGACAACGATGGTCTGAATTTGAAGATGGATTTGGAGACGAAATTGGATCTGGGTGTTGTGTAGATTCTGGGGAGAGGTCTTATACCACATTCTGATAAGACCAAGTTCGCCATTAGAGCTCTCTCCCTCCCCAGAAGTGAAAAGGCTCTCTCTCTCTTTTTTTGGTTTCTGTTAAACGAGTGGTGGTGATATAGGGAAGGAGCGATAGATAATGTTGTGAGATTTGATTATTATATGGTTCACTTGGTTGTGAAGAAAGAGAGAGAAAGATGTAAACTTGTGCTGCTTATTGTCTCCCCAAATAACTATCTCTATCTCTGGTTCACACGCTATAACAAAAGTATCTGCAACTAGCAAGGTGAAGGAAACTTATTACTTAACTAGTGGTCGGTCATATGAGATCTTTTTGTGACGGTCAATTTTGACACAACTAAGGGTTCAACACGGATTTGATTCATCTCCTCGTTTTAAATTCTTTGTTTTATGAAATGATGTCACTTATTAGTTTAAAGCCTTTGAGAAAGAAAATTAAAAAGTTTAAAGAAAAATAATGAGGCATATGTTTCATGACCCTAACTTTTAAATGACGGTAGCAAATATTATACACATTATATTAGTGACTCTATAACATTTGTTAGACAAAAGAAAGAGGAGTTTGGTGAAGAAACCTATTTTGAGAATTTGAGTCAATTACGTTTCAGTGTTTCACACTTACTTATTGCTGCTTTACTTTGATGGGTACAATTACAAAGACATAACCAATCTCAAACTACTAGTCAAGGTACATGGTCATGTAATAAGGCTTAAGGAAGGCGTGCGCCGTGGACGTGGACGGTGCACATAAATTTGAAAAAAACAAATAAAAAAAAAGTTGGCCCAAGTGTACGAGTTGGAAAATTAGTTGGACCAAATAAGACGGCCAGGCTGAAATATATATTATTAGCCCAAGCCCAGCTTACTAAGACTAACAATCAGGACCTCTTTTCAAATAATTATAAAATTGTAATTTGTCAAATAATAAGTTTGCTGGCCGAAACGACTTCAAAAATTGGTATACTGCTGTTGTGTGAATCTCTGGTTCGATCACCCAAACGACTTCAAAATTGTAGCCTCAAACATATCCTATCATCCTGGTTCATTTCATTCATCAGTCCTTTCCTGCTCATTGAAATTCCATGAGACGACGACGTTCTCATTTCACGCAATTCATGATCAGAGTGGGTCTTGATTAAGTTCCCTTCATAATCGTGGCTTGGATTAGCTTCTAAAGATTATGAGTGCAGTGAACAAAATATTCTGAAATGGAATTGTGTTTTTGAATTTATCACTATTCATTTATTATTCTCAACCAATATCTACTTCCAATTTATCACACATTCGATAGACTGTATAGTACATACTGCGTGGACCACCGTTATCTCAAATCTCAATGGCTACCTTTCACCTCCTGGCTCCTGGCAATCTGATTCAGGGGAAAAAAAACAAAATATGTCAAAAGTTTTTGTGTTACTTAGTATTTTAATTAGGATACTTAATACTTACTATTCCGTATTCGTTTTGCTGGTTGTATTTTTTTATGTTCGTGCTAACCGTATAACTATACTATATATGAGTACAATTATGTCTATAAAGGTTGTATCACTTCTCGTGTAAGTCACACATGGTCCAACCATATCAATATGACATAATTAATTCGCAAATTATTACCTATAGTCTGAACCTAGTCTGAAACTGGGGAGTAACGTACAAGCGGTCATAAGTTGACCCCAAAGTTAGGGTTTTTGTGTTTACCGGTCACCAAGAACAAAGCAAGCAAGAGGTTTTCTTAATTAACCCAACAAATTATATCCTCTATATATGAACAGATGACCCCCACCACCAGGGTCGATCCCTTGTAAATTTGACAACAAAATAATTATAATAACTAGAGAGGATCCCATATTTTATTTTATTTTATTTTGGGCAAAGAGAGGATCCCTAGTTATTTGTTGTGGACCTACTACATAAAAAGAATGAACGTGCTGTATATTTTTCTATAGAGTTTGATTGATAATGAGACAATGCAATTCAGTTTTCTTTTTTTAAGGAAACAATAAGTCATATCAAAATAGTACAAAACTTATTAATGATAATTGAGAACATCATTTTTGTTATCAACTTTAGATTAATAACCATGCATGAATATCAAGTGGTTGGGCAAGTCCCTCATGCTTTGTGATGTAATTTTGGGATGGATGGATACTAGTGTTTACAACATGGGTTAATTATTGTAGTCATCCAAAGCCACTAATTAAGCCAGTCCGACGTAGCATAGCAGTACGTAGAATCTTCACAACAAGGTAGTTCACAAAACGACGCCGTACTCAACTTCTCATCAATGTCCATAAAACAAGTAATCAAATCCTCCTCTTCCATGGTTATCAGCATATTCTCTTTAGCACTGGCTTCTCTTGGTTGTTCGGTCAATATCAACATCTTGATCTTGTCGAGTCTGTATTTTCTCGAGGCGATACCAGCAGCGAGCTTGTTAAGGAGACGTGCAAAGCCAGTGGAAGAAAAAGTAGTGCTGGGTGCCGGAGACGGCGACCTCGTTGACGTGGAAGTGGCTTCGTCGACGGTGACGAGTGCTGGCTCAGGAGTCATCATTGGGTCGGTTCGTCCTTTAGCGAGTCTTTTCTTAAGACATGAGTTCCAATGGTTCTTTATGTCATGGTCTGTTCGGTTCGGTATTTGCTTAGCTATTACTGACCACCTTTGTAATTTATTATGTATCATTCATCAAATTTAAAAGAAAAATATCATATTGCTATATACATAAGAATGTAACGATGCATAATCCTGTTAACGATTTAATTACAAACTAAATTAATTACCTGTTTCCAAGAAGAGCATGGAACTTAATGATTTCTTGTTCCTCCTGAGGAGAGAACTTGCTTCTTTTAATCCCAGGTCTCAAATAGTTCAGCCACCTTAATCTACAACTCTTTCCACATCTTTGCAGACCTGTTTTTTTTTTTATGCATTTGAATATTAGAATTATCAGAAACTAAGGTATTGTTACTTTAACATGATGGCAAACGTAACAGAGAAATTAATTAGAAATTATTATACAAACAAAAAAATTGAACCTTTTACTCCATCAAATTCAAACAAACTAAAGAAAACACAATGAAAGATAATGCATACACAGATTTATCAACAACAAAAAAAAAAAAAAACTCGTAAAATCTATCTTTGGTTTACAGAACTATTATAATTTTCTGTAAATTTCATATAATCGTAAATTTACATCCAAATAAAATATTATTTTCTAAAATTTTCTTCAAGAAATCTCTTTAAAAGATGCATTATTCAAGAAAGCTAAAACAAACATACTCAAAACAAAAATCTTTAGTCCGACACAAACTGGAATATCTAAAGATCATATATACTTTCATATTCCACATATATAATATATAAAAGAACCTAACTTTGAAAGAGTCGACACAAACATATGTAAACATATGGTGTGTAGATTCATACCGGCTCTCTTAGCCAATAAACCCCAGTTGTCGAGACCGTTTTCTTCGATGTAAGCGACGAGCTTCCGGTCTTCCTCAACTGTCCACTCTCCTCTCTTCATCCCGTCGACGTCGAACCATGTCATCCTCCCCATTTTCTGTTTTTGGTTTTTGTACTCTGGTGAGCCAAATCAGATCTCAGCATGAATTACGTATCCCGTCAACTCGAGTCCTGATGATCCTCTTGATGAATCATCTGCTTTTATGATAAGTATACTCTTGTTATAAATAGTAATTCTTATTCAGTGACATATCTATATATGTGACTCTCTCTCTCTCTCTCTCTCTCTCTCTCTCTCTCTCTCTCTCTCTCTCTCTCTCTCTCTCTCTCTCTCTCTCTCTCTCTCTCTCTCTCTCTCTCTCTCTCTCTCTCTCTCTCTCTCTCTCTCTCTCTC